GTATGTGTGTTTTCTTTATCATGGCCTCCCATTATTGAAGATTTCTTTCTCTTATAATAATTGTTGTTTGCCTTCAATTTCTCCTCTTCTTTGTTATTTTTCACTCTTTTGCCTGTTTTAAGCAGGCATTTAGTCTGTCATTTCCTGTTGTTTTTGACTCGGTGTGTGCTGGCATATTGTGCCAAATAAAAAGTGAACAAGTGAAGGGTCTCTGCTAAACTAATTTTTGCATTGGGGTGCATCAGCAGTATGTCCAGCAGACATCGACTCATTACTTTAGGAGCAACTCATTGACCATGCACTTCAGGGGGGTAAAACCAGCCTCAATTAAAAACCGTTCAGCGTAAAACAAATGAAGCTGCAATTTGCTGCCTTCCCTTTCAGATGGCTGTTTTTATCATCTCTGTTTTTTCCCTTTTCTATTTTTGTCTGACATTTTGCCATGCAGGCTTTAGAATTTTTCTCTGGCTCTGCCTTTAAATAACAGTCTAGTCCTCCCACTGCCCACAATTCCCCAGTGCTCATGACTTTCACCCCACTTGACTCATGAAGTCTGAATAATGGACAGATCTTTCCCGAACACATTGCTCAGTGGTGTAGTTGCAAGTATCGCTTTATAAGGCTACGTCAGCCTTCAGAACATCAGTAATGTCCACCTTCAGGCCCTCAAAATCATGAACCATTTTGCTATATTTCATGGTATTTGTAGTACAAATTATGTAGATAATGGATCAGAGTTTGTCTGTATTTCCCAACTGACTTAGCTTCTGAGGTACTAGCTGCTATATGGTTAATTTCTTGGACCGACACCTTCCACATCTTTTCTCTTCTCTCTTATGCACTGTTAAAATGTTTCCTGAAAGGACTTTGGACCTCCTAAAAGATGGTTAGTTGAGTTAGATATTTACCCAAAGATAAATGCTGTAAATGGGGTTTCATATTTATCTTATATTTATATATTTCAGCATCTTACATTTTTTTTGTGATGGATCTATTCATAGTATACTTTTTGATTTTTGAATTTTATGGGGTCCAGAGTTCCTAATTTTAAAGTTTATGTTAAGAGCTTTTTTCCTCCAAGTGCACGTGAGCTGCGGCAAAGCCAGAATCAAGTTGAAAGCATCAAGACCAGCATGAAGTCTCAGTGGGACGAAAAGGCCAAGAGATTTGTTGTCGTACCCTCCTTTTTGGGGCTGATGGGTATTGCATTGAGTTTTACAGTTAGCGTGTCCAAGACTGGTGGGCGACCGGCGTTTTGTGGCTATATTCAAATGTGGTATCATTCAGCCCAAAACCTTCAATTGCTTCACCCAATAATCTGGCCGTTGTTCTCAAATGTATTCATAGATGGAATTGGAACGGGCTAAAATTGCCATCTAAGCAAAGAATGTCTCATTAAATCATAGTCATGGTATCATTAGCTTGTGCCACAAAAATAGAGACAGAGATGGAGAGGTCCAAGACTCACATTCTCCACCGCTATTTCATTCTTCTCGCATTGGTTAAAAATAGTTTTGATCCATTTTCCCTCACTTTAAATTCTGTTTAAGCTGATTTGGCTGATGTGGACGTTAGCTGGACTCATTGCAATGGCATGACATCAGAGAGGCACCGCTGCCAATAGGAAACAAAAGTTCAATCCATTTTCCGTAAATAGGATGCCAAAACCTTCACTTTCTCCCAACTTTTTTTTTTATTTTTTAGTTGGGGCACAAAAGGCCATCTGATATGAAGCTCTTTCATTAAACTCAGTGCAGTACTCATTAGATATAAACATCCGGTTATGGAGACCACTTTCCCTCTGTCACTGATTTATTAGTATTATTATTGTGCTTAGTATGATTGGAATCAGCAATGTGAGCCAATCAAAATTGAGTTTTGTCCCACCAGCGTTACAAACTTTTTTGAATGAAAGTGCATAAAGGGAGAGCGTCTCACTACAGAGGGTAGGAGGGAAGCAGATGAGTGGGGATGTCCTATAGGAGCTGACCTGTCTATTGTAAAACCAGGCTGTGAACATACACCTGTTACCATCCCAACTGTCCCCCGTAATTGAGCACCTCTGAAACTGGGGCAGTCAACACAGCAACTTTCGGTCCCAGTGAACGGTTTTGGTTGCTGCCCCCTGGATACTCTTGTCTGCAGCCCAAATAAATTAATTTATAACACAAGGGTTAAAGAGCAGAACATTGACCTCATCTCAGATTTTGTTAGTTCCTAGGAGTCATAAAAAATAACAATAAATAAGGTAAATAAATAAATAGCAACCAAAATGGCAAAGATTAGCCAAGTCTGGACGTTTAGAATTCATAAATTGTACATTATGAAGCAAAGGTAATGTTGAGTCAGCAAATTTAAAAACACCAGGAGCATGGCTTCTATTAGCGGAATTAAAGCCAGATGGGCTAGAAGATTCCTTTGGTAATTAACCCCAGAACCGGTTCTGCTGGCATCTCATCCTGAGAACTCACACTAGAGTGACCCCATATACGTCATATGCATATTTAAGAATATGACATGTAGAAAATATATCATACGAACATGATATTGTTTTTATACATTAAATAAACAAGAAGTGAATATCAAGTAACTTGCATTCAAGACAATATTTCCAGCTACTTTGTCTGTTTGAATTTTTTTTTTTTCATTTTCCTAACAAAAAGAGTTCCAAACAAAATCAAAGCAGAACCGCTGTGTGTCTCCAAGCAAAACTAGTGGCATTTTGTCCAGTGTTTTCAAACAAATCGGTCAAGTCAGTAATTCAATGACTCACTCATACAAACATCTGGTGAATTTGAAATGGCATATTAGCGTACTACTCCAACTATTTTTGTCATATTTTTATTTGGAAGTACTAGGGTATTATTCTAGTATTTTGCGTCAACATACTTGAATGAATCAGCACTCTTGAGTAGAATGAATGAATCAAAGTCTCACTCATAAAGATGGTCACTTGCTGTAATCTGCAGAAAGACTCTCTCCCAGTGCTGTTATTTTTAACTAAAACTATTACAAAATATTTTTTTTGTTATTTGAAGTAAAGCTAAAATATATGAATATTAAATGAAACCTAAATTAAAATTTGAAATACTGCTTTGGCAACTATCTGAAATACACAAGTTTATTTTCAAGTCCTAAAATTACTAAAACTAAAATGAATATAAATATTAAAAAATAATAAAATTGACAGAAGCACATAAAATTGTTAAAGCTAAAATTAAAATGAAAAAAAAAAAATTCACAAAAAAATTCACAATTCTAATAAATACTATAAGTATATAAATAAAATTAAAATAACACTGGTGACTGGTCCTCATCACTAATACAAAGACACAAAGTCTGTGTAGAACATGCAAACATGGACAATGGCTTACGTATAGAATCTCTACATGTTAAACTGAGATGAACATCCAAAACATTACTCACATCACTTTTAACAAGCAAATAATTTGGACATGTTCTAGATGAGTCATACTCAAATTCACTATCCAGTGGGGAGCAGCCATGTGATTAAACAAATACTGCTGATGTGGCACCGTTATATATAAAAAAGAAAAGGTTGAATGCAGCACCTGTTGCTTTGGTCCAGTGGCTGGTGCCAGAAAAAAGCCTGCCTAATGGGCTGACAGGACCACAGGGAACACAGCTGCCGCTCACAGCCCTGCCTGTGTGTTGAGATGATAAGCCCCCCGGCCCCCCGCTGCTCTGCCATCCCTCCTGCCCTCTCCATCCTCAGCGAACAACAGAGAGAAATCACAAAGAATAGAAATGGATCAGCAAAACTAGCATATGCACAAGTCCGTCCAAACGGAATGGAGTTTATTTTATGTCTCAGGGAATCTCATTAGAAAACCCATGACAGTAGGTCAATTTGTTTTGTTGAGGTGTCTGTGAGTGAGCAGATCTCAGGCATCCTGGCCCCTCATTCTGGGCTCCTCTGCCTTTGATCTGATATTTGGGACAGACCACAGAAACATAATCACGGTTAAAGGAAAAGTTTACACGAAAATGAAAATTGTCACTTACTCAGCCTCATTTAGCTCAAAGCCAATATTACTTTTTTCTGCGCTATTCAAACAGACATTTTGAAGGCTGTTTTGCTTTTTTAAGGTTATCAAAAGCACCATTACCAAAGTATCATAAAAGTGGTCCATACAACTTTAGCACTATATTTCAAGTACAAGTACAAAGTCATACAATAGCTTTGTGTGAGAAACAGGATGCAAGTATGTTGTTACTCACTAAAAGGTTTAGATTTGTAAATAAGTCATTCTTTTGAATCATTATTTTGGGTCAAATCAATGAATGATCCGGATCATAAAACTAATTTAAATGAGTCTTTCACAAATTGGACTGATCCAGTTTTCAAGTTCAACTCACTGACTTGATGATACAGTCGCAGTGAATAACATTGGCTTATTGTTAATCGGGCTGAATTTGTTATTACTCCCTGAAAAGTTCAGATTTAATGAAGACTATGAATGGTCCAGTTCATAAAACGAATAATTGTTTTGCAAATTTAACTGATCAGGTTCTCAAGTGTAACTCATTGACTTGATTCAGTTGCAGTGATTAACACTGATTCGCTTTATTCCTCACACAAAGCAATCATAAGGCTTCAAAAACTTTAAATGTGACACAAGTCATATGGACACATTTATGATGCATTTGCACCATTTTTAGAAACTAAAAACTTTTGTAATTTGTAATTTGTAATTCATGGAAAAAAGCGGCCAGCACAGCCTTTCGAATCTCTTCTTTTGTGTTCCACAGAAGAAATAATGTCAAACAGATTTGAAACAACATGAGGATGAGTAAGTAAATTTTCATTTCTGGATGAACTTATACACATGTAGTATGATCTACTGTACCTCTTTTCTTCTCTTTCCCCACTGGTTCTTTCCCTCCTCTTTTCTCAGTGTGGGCATGAGTGTGTACAAAACAATGTTCGTTTCAGTACTGTTATTTCATGATTCCTCCCTGTTCCCATGGTTCTTCAGAAGCCCAGAGTAAACCCTATTACTCCGATTACTCACCTACACGGCTTCTCATCCACAAGATATGCACCAGCCACTATCTGGACCTGTTCATCACAATTGTCATCGGGCTCAATGTTATCACCATGTCCATGGAGCACTACCAACAATCTAAGGTACCTCTTGCCAGTGGTGCCAGTAGTGAGAGTGCATGCGCTTGTTGATATTCCATTAAGGAAATGAACTCGCCTGTTATGTAACTGCAAACAATGTTCCTCTAAGTTCAACTCACTGCTATCTCATATTATGGCTCTGCATAATATTTGCTGATTAGGCAGCTGATGTTTATGTACTCTTTTTGCTATACCGCATTTTGATTGTATCATAGCAGTAAGTATATAATCTTAATCTTTATATTATTATACTTATTTGCACTTTCATTGTGCTGCTCCAGGACATTTTGTACCATTGCTTGTGTCTAAAGAAGCCTTATGAGGGTAATGCCTCACCAAAATAAACCACACTGTAGTGTATATGCGCTGAAATTTATGCATATTCCCTCATCTGTCTTTTCCTTCCGCATAACACTACAGAGACAATTCATGAATATTCAATAGACGACTAAAACAATAACACGAGTTAGCAGATATGCTCTGGGAGTTTAGATTGAATTTCTGTTAATCATTTGGGTGGTGTATTGTGTTCTTCTGAAGTGCTTTATTCATTCCTTTATGACAAAGGTCAGTTTTGCTGGTAAAAGACCACTATACATTAAAATGGACTGTTTTGTGGTTCTTTCAAAAGGTAGGAAGTTAGAAATATAGAAAACATTTTTAAATTATTTATTCATTTATTTGTATTTATTTGGTGCATTTTTTATTGTATTAGAATAATTTATGTATTTATTTTTTGAGAGCACAAAGAAAGTTTTAAAGAAGTTTGTGTTTTTTATTATTATTATTATTTAATTTATAAAACTAGACATTATTAACATTAGACTTTAAAATGTTTTATAATATAATGTATCATTTTAATGTTTTATATTTATTTAGTTAGTTGGTTGGTAGGTATCTCTCCTTAAATCAAAACTGGTGTTTACTATTCCTATTAGACAACTCTGTAGCGATGCTTCCCAGGGTTTTCACCCATCATTAATGGAGGTCTGCGACCTCACCTGTAGCTATAAATAGCAGTCTGTTTTAATTAGAGCCCCAGTGGCCCGCAGAATCTTGGAGGAAGTGGAGCAAAGGGGATTGTTAGGCTTTGACTGCTTACACACTCATTCCGTGAACAGAATCAATTGATTTTCTGGTGCATCGTCACACTTAGCCTGGCCTTAATTACTGTGTGGTGGACAGGGAGAGGCCAGACTCCTGGAAATGTCCAATGACTATCAGACCCTGAAGATGCCAGCTAATGATTGTTGCTTCTTTTGGGATAATCTGACCACCTTTGATAACTCATCATCTTTTCTGCTTATTGATAATGGAATGACTCATTCAGCCATCATTTGGCCTATAGTTTGTGTATTAATTTATTTTCTGAAAGAGAGGATACATTCTTGTTCTGCACTTTCTCTATTACATTATCTTCTGTGTTTTAACAGGTCCTGGATGAGGCTCTGAAGATCTGTAACTACATTTTTACAATCATATTTGTCCTAGAGTCCGTCTTCAAGCTTGTTGCCTTTGGATTTCGCCGCTTCTTCAAGGATAGGTAGTATATTTGACCCTCTCAAAAGTTACATTTGAGGTAGTTGATCCAAACCAAATCAAATTTACAGTAAATCCATTTCCATGGAGGTCCAATATCCCTATCAGCATAATTGTTTTGTGTGTAAACGCAATAGGGTTTGTTAGTATTCCTGAAGCCACATCTTTTGAAATGATATCACAGCTTTGAGATTCCTTGGTTTGCCTCAGACTGTCAGAAGCACATCGAGGGCTGAATGCACTGGCATCTGTGGTGAAAAGCCAGAACCGAATTTCGATCACTTGTGGTTTTGGTAAAAGAAACCCCTCTTGAGTATCCAAATTCAGACTGCCTGGGGCTTAAACAATGAGAAAGCATCCTAAATGGTATTTATTACTAAATTAGTAACAAAGAAGTGATAAATGCTTTATTCTACCTTTTTAATATACATAGTATATGTGTAGGCCACACATATTTTCTATATAGAGTCTGAATGATCCATTATACTTTTAATTAGTTTTGAATAATCAGTCAATATGGGGATTAGGCCCTTTACTGAAGTTGATAGGCCATTAGAAGTTATCATGTAATCAGCTTTTTCTTTCAATAGTTTAATAAAGAGCATATCATGTCAATGTATTCCCAGATCCATAAGCCATGTGTAGGGAAATGTAAAGCAGCTATTTGCATACTAATGAGAACTTTGACACAACATAATTGATATGATTTTAAAACAAATCTCTCACCATAGGCCCTCCCATGAGTTGAAACTACTGTTAGACATTTCAGAACATGCTGTTCAGGAGGTGAAGGTTTAAGAGTTTTATTGATTTACAACATTGGAAATGGCTTTCTATTACTTTGATCAGCTCTTTCATGCAACATACTCCAAGTTCGCAGGGATGGAGGATGGAAGTACGCTTTGATCACTGAGCCCCTTTAGTGAGCAAAACTGGTGGGAAAAATGTAGAAATGCTTTGTGTTAATCATTTGACTTAAATTTCCCCACATATCTAATGAAACACCTCTCATGGCTGCAGGCCCCAGAAAATTGAGGTGTCCTAAAACAGGCTCTAGGCTCTACCTCACCCATGACAGTGTTATATTTGACCCTCAGAGGGAGTTATTTAAAGTTAGCCGCAAAGTTTGAAGCCATATTTAGACGATGAACATGCTGAGAAGTCTGCTGGAAAAGAGAAGTAACATCCAGGGTCAAATAAGGGTTGTTTGCACAAAATCGCTTTTCATTTTTGAAATTGTGTTGCACACTTTGCCTGGTGTATTTTTAAGGATATGTAAGGATAAGTCCTTTGAAGTCTGAGGAAATCATACTGTGATATTGAAGTGATTTTGAAAATTAGCACATTGGGCAATTTTATATTTCATTCTCTCTTTCAACAACAACAAAAAAAGAAACATGAAATTTCTCTCTTTAGTGGCAAAGAAAGCTGGTACAACAAATAAAGGATGCACTTAACAGTGGAGAATTATGGATAGTGTAATTTTACTTCATAAACCAGCTAAATGTGTAAGATTTTCTGGCAATCTGACAATTGTTCATCAACAGTATACAAAATGTATACTAAATAAATTGTAACATCAATGTAAACTATTTTTTAAATAAAACTTAAAAAAATAATTTAATTTAATTTAGAGTAAATAAATATGATTGAAATACAGTAAATTGTAACATTAACATAAACAATTTTTCTTAAATGAAAATGAATAATTTAATGTAATTAATTTCATTTAATCCAGTATAGATGAATACGATTGAAATATGTTGTAAAATCAACATAAAAGTAATAATAATCATAATAAAAAATGAAAACTTAAATATTGTTTTTATCCCAAGTAAATATAACATTCATGTGAGCACATCTTATAAATACGATCATTCTGACATGACTTGAAGGCAGCATTACTCTCTTTTATTTACTATTAATAATTAATATTTAATTGCTATTTATAACTAATGTAATGAGTGTCTTTACGCAGGTGGAACCAGTTGGATCTTGCCATTGTTCTGTTGTCTATTATGGGCATAACACTGGAAGAAATTGAGGTCAACGCTTCCCTTCCCATCAACCCCACCATCATTCGCATCATGAGGGTGCTGCGGATCGCTCGGGGTTTGTATTCTCTGCCTTCTTACCTTCCGTACCACCATGGTCCATTTTTCTTCCCTGCAAAAGTTTACACTCCTCAGCGCTCTGCCTGTTAGCCTCAGTAGATCAGACCCGGTTGTGTATGTCACCCTCGGGATCTCTGTTGTTTCACAGACTGCTCAGCAGAAGCCGTAGTCTGTTTAGAAAGAGTCCAGATGGCTGTAATGAGAAATTCAGTTCACACAGCCACTCTACTTATTTCTTACACACACACTCACAAGCTTATATGCTCACAACACACACAGTGTGGGAAGCTGGGGTGCTTGTCTACTTGGAAAGATTATTCTTCCTCTAATGAAAGAGCTGCTGGGTGAGTCTTTATTGATTATTCCCTCAACAGAGATGGCCAAGCAAACACAAAGGGTGTGTGTGTGTGTGTACGCATACGCAGCCTATTTCTTCCTGGACTCATTCAGACATTCCCATAATGAAAGTCCCAGGCATCATCCACTTATGGCCATGATTGCAATTAACCAAACCTCCACAGCAGCGTCTCTTCCATGGCTGAACGGCCTTGTCATCAACATCATTAAAGCTCCGTGTGTGTAGTGCACGACCCCAATAATAACATGCTCTGTGATCTGACCACTGTGAAAATTACATGAGAATTAGTTTCCACCGGCCATATTTAAAGAAAAAGTGCATCCAATATTTTTTGCTGTCTTTTCTATTAAAAGGTTGAGTCACAGTTTGAGGTTTTACTATTTTATTTTTTTACTCAAAGGCCACTTTGTCAATATTAGAAGTGTATTTTAGTTTTACTCCTATTTGTAATACATGAAATTTTTTATTTTTTATTTTTTTTGGGAAGAAGTTAGTACTTTAAGCAAATTAAATTGATAAAAAGTAAAAGTAATGATATGTATAATGATTTCTATTTCAAATAATTGCACAACTGTTTTTATCACAGATAGTAAGAAATATTCTTAAGCACCAAATCAGCATATTTAAATGATTTCTGAAGGATCATGTGACACTGAAGACTGGAGTAATGACTGCTGAAAATTCTGCTTTGGCATCACTGGAATAAATTACATTTTAAAATATATTACAATATTTTTTAAAATATTAAAATATTTAGTTTTAAATTGTAATATTTCACATATTTTTCTGTCATCTCACTTAATGTTAATCATTTAAAACATCAATAGTTAAATAAAACCGTTTTAGCAGATCTTTAAAATGAATATTCATTTTCATAATGTACATAATGTTGTGATGCTTACTAATTCACTTGTAGCATTTAAATAGCAGTTTTTTTTATTTATTTTATTTTTAATTTATAAAAAAAAGTGGTATGATTTTAATATTGACCATCTTTTGGCCATTACATGAAAACAATTATTAGCTTATCAGTATCAATCAGAATTTTAAAATCTGTGAATCCCTAGCCAATTCACACTGTACTGACAGACTTAAACTTTGCCTCATACCCTTTCAAATAATTGTTTAATTTTCACAAGTACGCTTGTACAATAGGTGCACTGGTAAACAAAAAGTGTATTTGAAATTGTATTCCTTTTATATTTGTATGTTTGAAATAGTCTTTTCATGTATATATTCAGTAAGCGGTCTCTCCTCTTCTTTCAGTGCTGAAGCTGCTCAAGATGGCCGTGGGAATGCGAGCTCTGCTAGACACTGTGATGCAGGCCCTGCCTCAGGTACTGCACCAAACTTTTGTCTGTCTCCTTCATTAAGTTCTGCTCTCCACTCATCCAGTGTATCCTGCGCGGCAAGAGAGTGTATTCCGGGCCCCGTTCGCCATTCTTCTGGGGCCCCTCTGCTCTCCACAGGCCTCATTTACATATTCAATCTGCCATTAAGAGGCCACAGCAGTGCAGATTGTCTCTAATGGGCTGCTTGGAGAATAGCAGAAATGACAGAAGCCAGAGAAGAAAATCTCCAGCGTGCGCATTCTTTGATAGCATCAGGCTCCACCGCCGCCTGCAGGGTTTTTGATTTGGAAACATGCCGCACCACAGGACACACTATTAATTCCAGTCTCTCCTTTAGCGCTCCTCATATATGCACTTAGATAATCAGACATGTAATTCTACTTTAACTAATTGTCACTAATTGAATTAGATCATGTTTAGCCGTCACCTGATCTCAGCATCACCTCCTAACGCCCTTTCACTCTGGCACTGTGACTTTTACACAGTTTGTTCTTTTGTATTAAAGTTGCTTTTTGTGGTTCTGGACTATTGATCTACTCTTCCGCAATTTGTGAGAGGTGATCCGTAACAGTGTTCTGAGATATCCTGCCAGATTGTGTCAGATTGATGCCCGTGTCTTGAATCACTGTGAATCCAGCCAGTGAAAAGTGCACTTAAGAGAGATTAGGGTGGGAAAATAGCCAGACTTACAAAAAGAAATGTCAGTGCAATCGGATTTGTCATCACATCTAATCTGATTATTTTTATTCCTTTCCGTTTTCCTCAAAATCATGCCTGATCCAGTCGTCTGTGATCACTCTGCATGATTGTTTTGCATGATTCTTCTCCTAATCCAACCGTGTGTAGGTGGGTTCTTCCTGTTATGCAGTAGCACATGAATATTACTGTGTTTCTAGATATCAGGGTATACTAGAGCAAGGTTCAGGCACTTAAAATAAATAAATGCATTATTATTATTATTATTATTATTATTATTATATTTTACACAATGGCAATAATTTAACAGGATGAACAAAGATCTAAAAGTTAGTCTTATTGTTGCTTATTGAGAGTTACTGTAGCTTACATGAGGGGGTCAATTTAAAATTAATTTGATATACTTAAATTGATTTGTTTATTTTAACCATCTTAAAACATTTTGATAATATCCTACTTTCTGTAATTTTATATAACAGAATTTAATATTTTGTAGGTCAGACAAACCAACTTGTACCAAAAAACATCACTGAATCATGTTAAATTATATAAAACAATATTCCCAATACATGTTTTGCTTGGGGGAAAAGGGAGAAAAAATGGCATAGTTATTAATATAATTATTAATTATTAAAATAAATAAATTCAATAAACTAAAAACATTTTCTTAATAAATAAATAAAAATCTCTTAAAGTGATGTGGAAATGTAGTGAAATTAATTAAAATTCACACCTATGTTTAATATATTGTGATGAATGAAAATAAATATGATTCCCATTTTTTAAAATGAATTATTATAATTTATCCAATATATTATGACATGTGATCGTGGCATGAAAATGTCCTGCATATTGACCCAGGGCTGAATAGATTTCAGGTTTTCTAATTAGTATATGACGATTTTATTTTTGGGCTCCTGACACTTCTTATTGATTGAAAGAAAGAGGGAATGGGATCAAAAACAAGATGCCACATTTGTCCTCTATGACCATGTCTGGAGCACATGCCTAACTACTGCTACAGTAAGCCACGACTTCGGCATAGTTTCATGACTCTCTCTTATTGGCTCCTCACAGGTGGTATTTCTAGGTCTGCCCTGTCAGTTTCCTTTGTGCTCCATGACAAACTCTCCTGGCTTTCTCTCCCTCACTCTCTCTCTCTACAGGTGGGGAATCTGGGTCTCCTCTTCATGTTGCTCTTCTTCATCTTCGCTGCTCTGGGAGTAGAGCTGTTTGGTGACCTGAGTAAGCATAACAAACACACATAAATAAGGACCATTTTTGCTCATGGTCTAATTCACTCAGACGCAAATGCTCCTAATTACACACACTCACACACACACACACACACACACACCCACACCTATGCATTCCTCAGGATCTTCCCATCTAGGTTTTATTTACACTGAAATGTAAATTACTTACATTCCCTAGAGAGTGCGTGACACTACTGCTTGGAGTCCAAAAACTAAAAAATTGAAATATGCTATATTGAAAATATTAAGTTAACTTTAACTAAACCCAGAGTTAAGAAGCCAAAATAACTTTGAGTGTCCCAAATAAAAGTCTTTCAAAGTATTTTTACCAGTTTTTTCAATATAAGTATCACAACAAAATTAATATACTACGTTACACGCTATTATAGGCCAGACGTAAATGCAACACTCAGTTTTATACTGTATGTTATGGGCTCCATCACTCTATTCATCAAGGGGACCTAAAAACTAATTTCATTCATTTATTTATTCCCTTTATGACGTTGATTACTCCACTGATGTCGTAACCCTCTAATCCTCTGATGCTACATGATTATGTTTTAAATTGTTTGATTTATTACTGTTTATTTGTTTTAAATTGCTGTGAGATCACTTTCACATATTTTAGAAAATTTGCCGTCCTTGTCTGTAAGGGCAAACCATAAATATGGTATCTGCAGGAGATTTTCTCTAAAATACGTGGCAGGACATTTGGCACCGGTTTACTGAATATAGCCTGCCGTGATTCATTGCAGCTCAGCACAATACCAGGGTTGATGTCATTTCCATTTCCAATCAGCCGACTCAAGATAAACATAGAGACTTCATAATTCATATCCAGCTTTACAATGCTGTCCAAGTTCAAAATATGGAGTCTGCTGGCTGAACTGAGATTGACTGTCTGCAAGGCAAACTTTTTTCTGTTTCTTCCCAAATAAGGATAAGTCAGGACTGGTCGATTAGCAGTCCACCAACTATATCGATCAGTGAGATTATTTTAGATAGATTTAAATGTTGGTCTATATACATATGTTGTGAGACTGCATAAAATGTGTAGTATTTCTTTTTTCCAACATGCTATTGGAAAATGCTATTTCATCAATAAATATATGGTAATTCAATTAATATAATTTGACACTTTGAATGTACATTTTGAACTTATTTCTTCTCGAGTTTCTAAAATTAAAATCAGGTCTCACCTTATATCGAATAACCTTAATAAACTGGTCTGGACTGCCAATAGTTTCTGCTTATGGTGATTTTGGAAAGTGCAGTTTGTAAATACATTGAAGTGCATGGTACCATCATGCCCAGATCAAAAGAGCTGCCTAAGCTCCTCAGAATGAAGGTTGTTGTGATTTAAGAGTTTGGAAAAAGATTTAAAGCCATTTTCAAGATGTTAAATGTCAATTATTTTGTAGTACATAATATAATCCACAAATGGAGAAAGTTTCAGAGTGCTTGCAATCTGTCTACATCTATATGCTCACATCAATCTTAAAAATAAAGTTTTTTTTTTTTTTGGCATCTGTGGTTCTATGAAGAACCTTTAACATCCATTGAACCTTTTCATTGTACAAAAGTTTCTTTATAGTCGATAAAGGTTCTATAAAAGTATTCCAATTTTATTTGCCCAAAGAAAACAATGGTTGTTTTAAGAACTGATCACTGAAAGGTTCTTTGGGGAACCTAAAATTGTGTTGCTGTGATCCCGATTTTTGAATATTTACTGTATATCTGAAAGTGTGTGTTAAAAATGAACCAACTTTTCATTAAGTGGATAATTAAATAAAATTTTCACTTTTTCACAGCACTGAAAATATGCAGATTTGCGCATTCCCAGACCATGTACCTCAGACTATGACATTTTGTTTCTGTCCCAGTATGTGATGAGCTGCACCCCTGTGAAGGTCTTGGCCGTTATGCCACGTTCAAGAATTTTGGCATGGCTTTCCTCCTGTTGTTCCGTGTATCCACCGGGGACAACTGGAATGGCATTATGAAGGTGGGACAGTGAAATTCATGGTGAATTTCAATGATCCACATGGTTATATTTTAAATGCTTTGCATTTTTGCAACCTATTCACCTCTCATTTTTACTCTCTGTGGCTGTGCATCTACGTTGCAGGACACGCTCAGAGACTGCTCCCAAGACACGGGCATCTGCTACAACACGGTGGTGTCCCCCATTTACTTTGTGTCCTTTGTACTGACGGCCCAGTTTGTGCTGGTCAATGTGGTGATTGCTGTGCTCATGAAGCACCTGGAGGAAAGCAACAAAGAGGCTAAGGAGGAGGCTGAGCTAGAAGCTGAGATGGAGCTGGAGTTGGAGGCTGTGGGTGGAGATGGAGGAATATCCCGAGGACACATGCCACCTCTGGGACATAGTGATGTAGGTGGACAAGGAGGGTCGCCTTGGATCTCAAGAGACTCTCGAGACATGTCGGGACCTCTTTACCCCACAGACAGCCCACCTGCAGACATACGCAGGGACTCTGAAGATCACATAAAGACAGATCCTGATCCTCCTCATAATTTGGATCCGCCATTAGAGGTGAGTGGGTGTGAGGTCAGTGGTGTGTACCTTCAATGGTGTCGTTTCCAGGCTCAACACATGAGCCAGACTATATGCTAACTGGTTTAAGCTGCTTATGACCACATCAGGTCAGCTAGAAACCAGCCACTATCTTAAGCAGGTTTCAGCAGGGGTGTCCAGCTTGCTTTCATTTTGCTGAAACTTTTGAATAGAATGCTACAGAGATTACGTATTTTTGTAGGCCAAAACTTGGGAACTAAGTTTAAAAAAAATTTAAATGGGTTTTTGCCTGAAATAAGGTCTGTGGGTTAGCACAATATTAATATATTGCCATGTTATATTCTATGACATAAAATACATCAGTAATACCCCCTTGTAAACTTGGAAAAGGCAGTTGCTAACAAGTGGCTAAATGTGGAACAAACATCACACTGAACAAGTAAACTCATCACTCAGGTTTTCACAGCTTTGTTTATAATCACACTTTTGCAAACTATTCTTACATAAACTTTCAGTTTTTTTTTTTTAATTATTATTAAATAAAGACTGAACGAGTTGTCAGAAGATTAGTGATGGTGTGACCATGGTGTAGTTTGTTTATAGTTTATATTTCTTTTCACTTCTGGCGATTGTATGTAGGTTTCAAAATTCATTAAATTATGTTTATTTGTGAAGGTTATCATGATGAACAAAACATGTAGGAATCATAAACCTTTTTTGGTCACAGAGCTTATTTTCTGCAATAATCCTTAAGCCAGTAGAAAATTCTTTCTGGTTTTTGTCAAGGAAACCAGGGTGATGCTAACTTCTGGGTTGGCCTACAAAAATACATCATCACTGCACTCTATTATCAAAATCCAATATACTGCTAGACAACATACCATATGCTTCCATAGATGTCTGAACCCACATACGTCACTGATGCACATTAAAAGAATGTTTCTGGTTCAATTAGACGTAAGCATCTGCTGTATACTTTCCATTACCACTGAAAATAATATTGTCCTTAAAACAAACACAAGTCTTGTTTACAGCAGTGCACTTGCAGAGGAAGTCGATAGAGTAAGGAAAAAAAAAAAAAAAAAAGTCCAGCTCATAGTTGGTTAAAGCATTTGTATCAGTGCATTCATATATAAATTTGTCTAAACAAAATGTGAGTTATTTGATATGCAAGTTGTTTTTTAGCAGTGGGACTACTGAGATTTTGGTTCTGCATTACCAATCTAATTCCTGTGGATTTGTCTCTATGTGAAAAGTCCCTTTTTGGAATTATTGCACGTATCATCTGAAAATTGCAGGGTTTTCTGGCTTTATATGGTCATGAGAGGAACTCTGCATAGAAGAAGATGGTAAACAATTTTGTTGCTCTAGTCGTGTAAACACGTATAATGTTTAAGCCTTGTAGTCCTACGCACAACATTGTGTGCTTCAAAATGTATTTCAGTGCAACGCAGTGCCCCATTGACTTCTGTTCAAGTGCATAATTGTAAACATGATTTTTCTTTAATCATAGTAAAGTTATTTTCTGTGATAAACAACACCTCACACATTAAAAATGAAAATGTAATTTCAAAATGTCATTATTTACTCATCTTGTATGTTGTTTTTAAACCTGTATGACTTGTCCTTCTGTGAAAAAAAAACAAAAAACTTCACTATTAACTAAGAGTATTCCCCTCAAGAAATTTCTTATTTGCTGCTTATTGATCTTAAGTTAGGTAGTTGTGGTAGTAGTTAGTTATTGGGTAGGGTTAAGGGATATAGAATATGGTCACGCAGAATAAGGCAATAATAAGCAGCCAATATGCTAGTAATATGCATGCTAATTAAGCAACTAATTAACAGTGAAAAGTTCCTTACAATAGTTATTACCAATATTCTTCAGAATATCTTTTGTGTTTCACACATGACATGAGGGTGAGAAAATTGTCAAAATTCTCATTTTTGGCTGAACCCTTGAACTTGTTATTCTGAACATTCTTTTAAAAACATAATATATGATATGAATATCTTTATTTTGCACAATATACAAAATATGCAGTATTTTTTTTCCACATTGGTTATCACCAGTGTCCAACTAACAATTAACTGTTTATTAGTTCAAAAATCAATGCAGATTTAGTATTTGCCAGGGCTTTCAGATCATTATTAACATGCATTTAGGTTTACTAAAAAGGCATGTTTTAAAACACGGGACTGTTATTTTTAAAGTGGGGAAGTCCATCAGTTTCTGTTATTGTCATATGGAGATGTGACTGTTGTTTGCTCCTCATAAACTTAGTGGTCGGAGGTCAGACTGATGCCATGGGAAAGTAGTGATACAGACCTCTTCTTTTTTTAATGTAGGCTGGCTATTTCCAGAATACCAGCCATTTTTTTAAGTTAACAATGACATTATCCCTCCAGCTCTCTTCTGAAGTGTGGCCGTGTCGAAATGTTTTGCTCATCGTCAGGGCAAATGTTCATAGAGCTCTAGTTCCCCCTTGTGGATGTCAGTGGTAGTATCAAACGTTTTTCCTGAGAGCAATGTATCTTTGTAAGTTCAGAGCCCAATACTACATCTGATCAGCACATAATGAATTGTACTACTGATTTAACTAAGAAATGCATCTTTGCTAAACTGGTTTAAACGATCAGTTCACTTAAAATTTCAAATTCTGTCATTTAATCACTGTCATGTTGTTGCAAACCTGTATGTCTTTATTCTGAGGAACAGAAGTCCATGGTTAAGAATGTCAATGTCAACTTTTGTGTTCCATGGAAGAAAGACAGTCAATAACGTGGGTGACTAAATGACGACATCTTAATTTTTGGGTGAACTGTTCCTTTAAATGAATTCTGAGTAGCTTGTTTATCCTTTTGTAAATCTCTCTTCTGGCTGCTTGTGTTATAGTCTACAAACTTCTCTCCTTCCTTCATTTCTCTTCTGTTTTTTCTCTGTGTAATGTCATTCACGTCACCCCTGGTCATCTCCTCTGCCTCTGTCTCTGTCTGTTCTCTTTCTCTCTCTTCGTCATTCATCCTGTCTGCCACATGCTGGGGCTTTTAGCGGAGGCCTATGTTTGACTCAGTTTCCCTGGTGATCCAGGGCTCATTGGAAGGAGAGCTCAGCCTCATGGACAACCTATCTGGCTCCATCTGCCACTACTACGCTCTGCCCCCCCTTCCCAGCAAGCACTTCACTGAGAAACAGGTCAATGGCATCCCCATTTACCCAGCTTTGCCTTGTACCACACTCCTCTGCCTGTCTCCTTCCCTTCTTCTCTCCCTCCTTTTCTCTCTCTGGACCACTTAAACTTATATAATAGCACCAAAGTTTCTGTGTGTCAGTTACAAAACCACCTCTGCACTCTGGGATTTCCAGAACTCTTTAGAAGGCAAGGACTTGGTTCTGCTCCAGTAAAATCCATTTGTTGAAGTGTACTTATTTCCTGATCCCATAAGAGTGACACAGTTTTGCAAAATTGTGTGAACTTTGTGCCTCGTTCCAAAGATCATTAATACCCAAAAAAGTGATGGACTCATCAGGCTGAAGTCGAAGAGGTAATGTGTGGATCGATAAAGAGCTGGACCGCTGTTGAATTATGCAGGGAAATCTACTTTGGTCTGTTTCACATTGAAATATTTCATTACATTGCATTAGCATTGCAAAATGGAGGCTTCTAAAAGCTTTTTTTTTTAAATGTAATTGGAGAATCTGTAATCTGTCTTTATGGAAATAGCTGGCGCTTTTATTTTGACGACTTTGCAAAAAGTTGTTCCAGCCCAAACTCTCAGGGACAATTAGACGATGCAGCATGCAGGATTTCACCTGCTGACGTTTGAGGATTTATAAGAGACTGCACATTATTTCTCTTTAAACGTAACCGAGTTTGACCTTTTGTTTCTGATCTAACTTTAATATCTGAGGACTGTTAAACTTCAGGATATCCATCATGGCTACTGAAGGAAGGTTATATGCATCCTGTCAGCTGACACTGGAGGGTGTTTCCATCAATTCTGAATTAAACAACTGGCTCTCTTTTAGTTCATGGGTGTTCATTTGAATTGGAAGTTGAATTGGAATATGAATATGAAGAATTATAGTATTTAATTTCAAAGAAATTCAACCCAAATTGAATATTTATCTGTCTGTGTGTCTATTTATCTGGTCTATAAACCTGCAATACTTTTAAACAAAGCTTTGTCAAGCCAACGTTAAAAGTTTGTCTTGACAAACTGTTCTTTCCTACTTAAAAATTGCAGTTATATGCAGTGTTGGGGAAAGTTACTTTTAAAAGTAATGCATTACAATATTGCATTACTCCATAAAAAAGTAACTAATTACGTTACTTAGTTACTTTTTATGGAAAGTAATGCGTTACGTTACTTTTGCGTTACTTTTTAAATCTGCACAGGGCTTGCTTGTTTGTTTTTAAAATAAAAAAGTTATATTTTTGGCAAATATAAAAGCCTCTTCACACCAAAAGTGAAATGAATAAGCCGCAGGCTGAAGGAAATGTAAATTTTCGTCCGTACAGTAGAATGCAGAAGAAGAAATTTAAACACACTTCAGCAATTAAAAAAAGACACAAATGTTTGTCTAGAGTAATTTGTGATTATTAGTACGGTTGAACTGGATCATCGAAGGTCAGAAGCAAAGACATTGGTTAATAGAATGGGATTAAATACATAAAGGATATTTGTCTTGTTTAACATTTAATTATTGCATGTTTGTGTCAAATTTTGAGTTGCATTATTTTTATTCATTTTGAGGAATACTGAATCTGTGTTTTTTTTTTTGTGAGTGAGATGAATTAATGCATATTCATATTTGTTTTAGAACTACAATAACATCTTCTGATTTCTCTCATCATGGGGACAGAAGAGCTGTCAATCAATAAATTGGGAAAAAAAGTAACTTGCGTTACTTATTTGAAAAAGTAACTCAGATATTCTCTTGTAAATTAAGAAGTAATGCGTTACTTTACAAGTTACTTGAAAAAAGTAATCTGATTACGTAACTCGCGTTACTTGTAATGCGTTACCCCCAACACTGGTTATATGAATTTCTTTGAATTTGAACTATTCTTCATTACATTGAGATTTGAATTGCAATTCTCCATCCTGTTTGCTACATCATTCAGGGATTGGAATTTAAAATACTTTCTCAGTCCAAATTTGAATGGAGCACAACTCTGATTTCCACCCACTGAACTGCAATGAACTGACTTCACCAAATTTAGCTGTATTAATTTACTTGCACTAACCTGTGTGATTGTTTGTGCGTGTCTTCTAGCTATGCATGTGCTGTTTGCCCGTCTCACTCTTGGCTCGTCTCTTCTTCTTTAGATTCCTCTAGCCGAGATGGAGGCTCTGTCTCTGGCGTCGGAGAAATCTTGGTCCTTAGCTCTGACGGATGACTCTGTCCCAGATGATTTTAACCCCCTCTTACTAACCAGTCAGGAGTGCAATGTATTTAACAGTAGAGCAACGTTCATTTTCCACTCCTGCCTCTCAGCCTTACACTGCTTCCAAAGACATCTGCCCTCTCCACCCTGCTTCAGTATCTGACCCTGAATACTTTAGCCCTAGATCTTTTGGCCCTATAATAGATTTCCTCAGTTCAATGTTTTAAGCTAGTTACAGCACAGTTTTAGCTAAATGTTCTTCAGAGTGGCACCTTGAAGGTCCCCTTGGTTTCTTGTGGTACCTGACAAAGTTGAGTTACAGAGCTAAAAGTGTCAAATCATAGTGACACTACTAACCTAACAACTAAATTTTACTGTAGCTGCTTTCAAATAAATGCAGGTTTTCCAGTGCTAAACAGTTTTTCTAGAAAGCATCAGCTGACAAAATGAATAGTATATCAGTATACTTTTTGCTTACATACACTATAGTTCAAAAGTGTTTTTTTTTTTTTTTGAAAGAAGTGTCTAATGCTCACCAAGGCTGCATTATTGTTATTATTATTATTATAAAAAATACAAAAAAGAACACAGTGAAATACAATTTATATAATAGTTTTTCTATTCTAATGTATTTTAAAATGTAATGTAAAATGTAATGTCTTCAGTGTCACATAATTGTTCAGAAATCACTGTAATATGCTGATTTGATGCTCATGTAACACTTATGATGTTAAACTCTTTCCTTCAGGATTATTTGATAAAAAGAAAATTCAAAAGAACATCATTTATTTGAAATACTGTACAGATCTTTACCATTATAATGGATCATCCTTGGCTGAATAAAAGTAATATCATCTTTAGAAAAATCAAACTGACCCCAAAGATTTGAATGGTAGTGTACATTAAATATAAATAAAATGGTCCCACTTTATATTGTGGCCCTAAAACCTGTGTACTTACATAGTAACTAGATGTGTACATAGTATGTAACCACAGTGTAAGTACACATTGGTACATAGTATCTACAGCTGTAATGTTTGTGTAACTACACGCATGTAACAGCCTACTGAATGGTATGTGTAAATACAAATGTGTAACAGGACATTGGTAACAACACTTTTTGGTAATGAAAGTACAAATGTGTAACAGGACTAACAGCACTTTTTGGTAAATAAATTGTTACACTTTATATTAAGTAAACAATTCCTATGGATTTGATATAGAATTCAGCAAATAATATAATATAAAAATTCTATAATATAATATAATTAACCCTAAGTTAGCTACTTTCTTGCAGTAGCTTGTAGTTTAACAAACTATTAGTACTTCAAGAGAGCAGTCTGACTGTAGTTTAGCTACTTTATAATAGGAGTAGCTTGTATATTGACAAACTAGTTTGCAAGCTTCCCTAACACTGGTGCATCCTCTCTACATGTGTAACCTAATTAAGTACCTGCCGTGCCAGGGCTGTATGATTAATTTATACCAAAACTATGCCAGTAATCTGTTTTCTGACACTTGGTCTGATGAATTTGTAAAAGTAGAGCATCTTCATCATTATCACTTTATGCAGAGCTGAGAGGCGAGTGCGTTTGGAAGCTTGGGGGTTTCTAACCATCCGCTCCTCTCTTTCTCTTTCTCTCTTTCCCTCTCTCTGTACATTTCGCACCAGCCTGGTGTTTGTATGGTCCAGTCCAGTCCAGTAGAGTAGTATTTACTGCCTGTCAATCTGCTCCTTTCCTGTCTGGGTTCTGCAGCTATCTCCCCGTTCTTCCTCCCATACGTCTAAATGTCTAAAGGCCATTTCTAAACCTCTTCCCCATCTAGTCTCTTCATACTTTTTAGATGTTCCTGTTTGCATCCTCAATCTATCTGTCTGCATATCTACCTGTGTCTCTTTGTTTTTGTTTCATGATTTTATCTCTGTCTTATCTTTTGTGTATTAAAAGTGAAGTTTCTCCCTAGTACCATGCTTCTTGAAAGAATATAGGAGTGTGGTATGGGGTCGGCTTCTGCTGTCTGCCAGCTACAGTAGTACAGGCTCTGGGCGCAGCTTCTGAAGGGAGGAGGCTGATGGTTTCTGTCACCTCGCAACTGAATTCATATTCATTGTCTCAGAAATATGCCCATAGATCCATAAATAATTTACACATAGCATTTCTCAGATGAGTGAGATCTAGATCCAGCCTGTTCTCATTTTTCTGTTGTATTTATGTGGATGAAAAAAGGCAAACAAATGTGCACTGAAATGTGCATAACTTCATAATGTCCATAAAGCAGGTTAAAAATAGCACCATAAATCTAAATGGGTATGTATATGTTACCCACAAAGATTGATTATAAACAATGCAGTGGAAAGGGAGCAAATGTACTCAAAACACATTTAATCACAAATAATGATCAGAATATAATAGAGAAATATTAACAAAACAAATGAAATTTGTGTGTAAGAATATGTGGACTTGCATGAGTGTTATTTCAAGGAAAAATTCACCATAAATTAAAAAAAGTCCAGTTGTTATTTAATATTACTGTAATTACTATTGTTTACTAATCTCACCTCATTCCAATTTTTTTTTCCATAAAAATTAGAAATTCTGAAGAGTGTTACTTCAAAAAAGGACACAAAAACACCAAAAAATTATCATAAATTTGGTTCTTGAGACTCATTTAACAGACCAAAATTTCCAAACGGAGTATGTCTTATTCAATCGGATTCATGAATCATTCAGTTTTGTGAACTGAATGAGACAATTCATTAAAAAGAAATTACTAAAAAAATGATTGATAGCAAATATTCATACTTTCAGTCATCTGTAATTTAAATGTATATACAGTATACAATACATGGATATGAAAAAAATTCATAAAATGTGCATATTCATATAAGAAATATGCATTTGCACTTACGCAACATGATTTATGAGAACATGTTTCTTGATCAGTCTCCTCCCTACGTCTAGTGCGCAGTAATGTTTGCCTTTCATTGTATGCTAACCAGTCCAGCTTCTATGTATTAGGTACAATGTGTGTGCGTGTGCGTCCATGTGTTCATAAGGGCCCCTGATGCTCCAAACACAAGTACCAGCTCTCACCTTGACTTGCATCTCTTTTAATGCCTCTCAGACCACAGCTCCAGCAGATCCCCCAGACCCCCAGCAGCCAGACGAGCAAACGGATGAGCACTTACTGTACGTGAAGAAGACCTCAGTGGGCCGTACGCATTCTCTGCCCAATGACAGCTACATGTTCCTGCCGCTGCAGCCCAACTCAACCCACAGTACCCACACAACCTCACCTCAACTCGCTCAGACTGGTAGAGCACTGCAATTTATTTCTGAATTTGTTTAAAATGCAGATGTAATATGAAATGTAATAGAAAAATGTCTCCTCACACAGGGTCTACAGGCTCTATCCAGTCTCAAACAGAAGAACCCACACTGCACTTGACTGTGCCCACTGATCTGTTCAGACCGATCAGTCCTCATAGCTTATCAGATTCAGAGAGCATCCCACGAATCCCCCCACCTCGCCGGGCACACTCTCTCTCACGAACCCTACGCAGACAGGTGAGCTCAGGTTCAGTCTTCTCAGTCCTTTCACTGCTTCCTTTGAAATGTGTTTTGCTTACAGAGTCTATTTCTATTTTCACATGTTAATGCACTCTGGTTTTGTTGATTGCACATAGTAGTAGCTCTGTTCCAAACCTTATTGAGCTGCCTCGATACATACAGTATTTTTTATATATATTCAACTTGTGTACAAAAAAGTACACAAAAGTTCAAAAATTTGGGGTCAGTAAGTTTATTATTTTTTTTTTTAATGTCTCTATAGCTCACCAAGGCTGCATTTATTTGATCAATAATCTAAGTAAAAGTAAGAGTAAAAGTAGTAATATTGTAGAATACTATTACAATTTATAATAACAGTTATGGGTGGGCAATATACCGGTAGACACAAATAAACCAAATTTTGGACTATCGTCTCAAAACCCTCATGTGACGATGCTGTGCTACGTGCTCACAAAAACTTGCGCTTGCACACGTTTTTAAGGATTGTGGTTTAAAAACAAGTGGTTTTAAGCCGTTGAAATGCAATCTGCAGCGAAAGAGAACATATTTCGCTATATGCGCGGCTTGCGCGCACTGTCGGAGAGACGTGTGCACGTGAATTTTTATTCATATGTATAGTTATTTTTGCCGCTTTATAGGCCTTGAATAGTTCAATACACACATGTATGTGTCAAAATGTCCATCTTTGCAAGTATCCTCGTAAACACAGTCATTTAGGTCTTAAGTGAAAGTAAACAGCTGAGAAAGAAAATACATGTGTAACAGTATATTGCATCCGGATGTTCGATCTTAAATGGGAAGCTGCCTGTTATTCCTCCTGTCTGTCATTGTTAATCAAACAGCAGTGAGAGAAAATCTCTTGACTAAATCACTTTATTTATTGTAGTTTTTTGTAGTTGTAGTTTTATGTCCTGTTGCTTGTAATTAGTTACTTATCTTCAGTTATCTTGAGTTTTTCTCTTTCTTTTCTTTTTTTTTAGGCTTGTATTAGTTTTTTTCTGTGATATTGACAGTAGTGACAAGAATTATGAAAATTCTATGGTATCAAAAACTGATATCATAAAAACCTTATTAAAGAGCAAATAACTATATCGTGATTAGGGATGGGTATCGTTAAGGTTTTAATGGTATTACTACTCTTACCGATACTGCTTATCGATTCGGTATATTAACGGTATTCTTATCAGTACTTTTTGTTTCATATTCCTCCGCGTGAGCGCGATCTCGCTTCTGAATTGCGAATAGCAAAAATGCATCATAGACAAATGTTTGAAAAACAGCTGGTGACTCTGGTGAGATAGAATTTGCAAGATAATGTATATATAGCAATAATAAATGTATGTGTGTTTCATTAATTTCTCCAGTACCGATAGCAGAACCGTTAACGTCAGAGCTTATCGATACTCCGGTCTTTCATAATTTAGCCCCGGGACCGATTAAATACCGGGTTTCGGTACCCATCCCTAATCGTGATATATATATAGTTCAGTCATGAAACTCTAGATTGTGCAGGCTGACAGGTTGTTAATGTAACTGATGATATTCAGAGAGTTAAACGACTTGGCACAAGCTGATTGGTTCATGCTGCATATGCAGCCAATGAGCTTACTGCCTTGCATTTATATGGCTGGCTTGCATTCACTAGAGATTCCTGCAGCGCGCTTTCAGAGTTTCTCTGAAACTAAACAGCTAAAATAAGTAAACGGTCTTCACTCTGATTCAGTGGATTATTGCGTTCGTCAGATTTACATTTTTAAACTAGAAAACATACAAGTTGTAAAACTACGCACAGGTTATTCGTGTGAGGAGTAATTACTAACGTGTCTTGTTCATATAACAGCAATAGCATTAGCAGCAGCAGCAAGCAGTTTTATGGAACGATTTTCCGGACAATTTTCAAATAGAATAGCAAATTGTATTTTCAATTGCGTTTTCAATATGTGGACGCATAAATTGTGACCTAATCCAAATGCAATTGCAAATCCTGCATTACCGTTTGCATTTTCGCTTTCGCGAACGCACAGTGACTGCCAAATTTCAAATGAAAAAGCAAAGTCCATTTGCAACTGTA